CACCTTATTTTATACCCAACATATTTTATCCTTACGTTGATTGTCATTAAATTAATGAAGCGTTGCGATGGGTTTTAAAGCTTCGATAGTTTGTTTATATTTATGCAACTTAATATTTCGCCATTATACTGTTTTTCAAAGAGTGATTTTACGGTAAACTCCCTGAAAACTTAGCATCCGGATATAAATGAACAATAAGGGAAGTGATAGAAAGATTTAATGGGATGGTAAATAAAAAATATCTATATGTGTTATTCATCCTTCCTGCAGGACTAAAAGATGTCGAAATTCACAACACATGGAGGAAAGATATCATATACATGGACTATATAGCATTCACCATATATATTCAACAACAAAAATCTGCATTAACAGCATACAGTAGGCGAGGTAGAATGTTTTCTCCTTTTTTTAGTTGTTCTTTTTTCCGGAGAATTAATGAAAAATTAATGAAAAATAAGTGTTTTTTGTATAAAATGAAATGTTAAAATTAGGCCATCTTTTAAACAAAAAATGTTCATTTGCCCTCTCCCGACCAAGAATGAAAAATTTGGGTCAGTAGGTAGTGCCTTTTTTTTCCTAGAAATTTTTAACATCAGTGATAAATTTTATATATTTATTGAAATTGAATGCTTAATATAATAAAAATAGTTGCTGACTGGATGAGAAAATTCTGGATTAAAAAATAATTAATCGTTTCCCGGAGGTTAAAAAAATTTTGAGTCTAGTCAGTCGGTCGGGAGAGGACAAACAGACTTTTTTTTCAAAAGATTGCCTTTAATTCTCTTTTTTACTAGAGTGATGATTACAATGTATGTAAAACTCTGAATAAAAGACTTACAAAAAAGTGGGTCACTTAGACTGGGTATACTTACATCACCACCACCCCCTTTAAAAAAATACCATTAAAACCATTCCAACCTGTCACAGGTTTTTTTATTTTTGTAGTACCCCAATGTCCTCCCTTTGGTGGTTTTTCTTTGACTCCTCTCTAACTTTCTTATCAATTTTATGATTAGCTTAATGAATAATAACTAGCTGACACAGGTGTAGTTAAGAAACGTACTGATAATTTAGTTTTAAAACTCTGTAAAAGAATGATCTGATACTTTTCACTCATGATATCTCATAAAGCACTTTAGCGCTTCAAAAGAAAATATGCTTGGATGAAAGGTTCTACGCCATATCGTTGCATTTTATTTTAAAAACTGAAATACTTTACATTATAAATATTTAACAGTCTAGGATGGTTTTCTTATTTTGGCTTTGATGTGCCGTCTGACCTCCTTGGCTGTTTTTCAATAAAGAAGTAAACCAAAAAATCCTCTCTTTTTTTTCAAGAAACCTTGAAGAGACCTCGTATCTTATATAACTAAAAGTGCATATAAAAAATAAAAGTAAGATTGATAATGTATATCCAAAACCTCATCATAAATTCAAAATCTTTCTGAACATCGAATCCATTGAAAAAACGTTCTTGCAACAAAAAAATTAAAGGTGTTGTTTTCGATGCATCAGAAATGCTTTTTTCATTATGAACATATTGGCTTGTATTTCAGAAACTGTTATTTCCTTGTCAGATGAAACTTTATAAGCATAAACAATGAAAGAAAACTAAATATTATTTTTATGTAACATTTTCATTTTTAAAATCTTTTATGTATTAATTCTTAAGCAATATTTTCATTTTAAAATCTTTTATGTATTAATTTTGTCATATTTTAATTTTTCATGATTATGTAATAGGTACAAAGTTTAATTATCTCTTTAGCGAATCGTGCTTTTAATTCTTAAATATTTCTATTTACAATGTATTTTTCATACATTATTTGCAGTGCTTTTCTTTGAAGTTTGCTGTTCTCTGTTAGCAATCCAGTATAGGACTATGGTGGGCTGAGTTTCCTTCTGTATCAGCCCAATATGCTGGGTTGTATTTACCAACCGTTCTGCACTGGAGTAGAACAGGTATCCGAAATAAAGAACAAATATAAAAGATGACCAAAGACAATCAATTTCAAACATTCATTTTTACTTGTACGACCAGCTCAAATAATATTCAATATAATAATCAGTTGATCATTTTCTTCTTGTTTTCCTGCTTTAATTAAGTAAAAATGTTTCCTGGTAAAACTTGAAAAATTCACTATTACACTTATACTAGTGTGTAATAAATAAAGTAACAGGACTAACAAGCATTCTGAGAGTATTGCATTAGCAATACTAGTCCCCTACCGGCAAGTGTAATCTGGTTCCCGTTAAGAATTGAAAATGCCATAATTCCGTCCAAAATCAATGAAGCGGGACGAAATGCAAACTTGATCTATAACTAATCAAAGTTAAGTCACATACCAAAAATCAGCTCAATATCTGAAAGCGTTAAGAAGAAAATTGCGGAAAACCCCTAAAAATTGAAAAGGCCGTAATTCCGTCAAAATTCAATGAAGCGGAACGAAATGCAAACTTGATCTGTAACTCATCAAGATACACTCACATACCAAAAATCAGCTCAATATCTGCAAGCGTTTAGGAAAAAAGTGCGGAAAACCAAGTGGGACAGACTGACAGACAGACAGAGGGACAGACAGACAGACAGACAGACGGACAGACAGACAGACAGACAGACAGACGGACGGACAGACGGACGGACAGACTCAGAGGAAACCTATAGTCCCCTCCGGTTTCACCGGTAGGGGACTAAAAATAACATATTAGGTCAATTACTTTGATCCAAACGAAAGGGATTTCTTTCATATTACAATGCAGTATTTGAAACTTCCCTTTGAAGACCGTGTTTACTTTCAATGTAATACCGGACGCACAAAATCATATTTTGAAGAACTTGATTACTTTCATTGCACAACGTCTTAGCGTCGCCTTCAGAATGGTTCCTAGGGAAGACAGCTTCTGCGATATATTTTTGAATTCATATGAAACAGAATTTGTTCTAAATCTTGAGAAAAAGAGATCTCTTGGTGTGGCCTTCAAATCGACATTTAGATATATCGACGACGTATTATCAATTAACAATATTATATTTTCATGTAAATTAGTTGAATCTGATTCGTTCAGAAACATTTGTTATAAAACACTATTACCCGCTGAATAATGAAGCCACGCCCTCCTGCGTAGCAAAAGTCAACATTGCTGGACGACGGGTGTTATTCTCCAAAAAACATTGACTGCGCAGAATTGATGCGCACAAGGTTCACTGTAATATGTATTTGTATAAAACATTCAGTATAATATAATAAAGACTGCATGTTGTTGAGTGTAACATTGAAAATTTTCACCCAAAGAAAACCATTGTCAACTGAGGCGCAGCCGAGGTTTACAATGGTTCTCGAGGTGTGAAAATTTTCAATGTTACACTCAACTACATGCAGTCTTTATATAATAGTTATTTCCATTCATATATCGACACGATATATCCCAGTGAGCTTGAAATAAAAGATACCACAGAGTCTGACACATCTATTTTATATTTGGATATTTTACTAGAAAAAGACGTTAATGGTAATTTAATTTTTCAACCAAGCGTAATGATAAACATGATGACTTTACCTTTTCAATCGTCAGCTTCCCTTACTTATCCAGCAATATGCCCTTATCACCTGCATATGGGGTATATATTTCCCAGTTGATTCTATACGCAAGAGCATGCTCTGTGTATGAACAATTTCTAAAACGAGGCAAGCTATTGAAAACAAGTGGATAAAACAAGGATATTAAAAGTATCGTTTGAAGTCATCTTTTCGCAAGTTTTACGGTCAATACAATGACCTTGTTAGCAAATATAACCTGTCATTGAGACAAATGCTGACTGACGTTTTTCATATTAATTGTTAGGCCATTATTTACACACTGAATTGTCTACGGATTTTTCTGTTTTCCCGATCATGATAAGGAGCACACGGCGGGTGTGACTTGTCGGCAGGGGATGCTCACTCTTCCACGGCACCTGATCCCACCTCTGATGTTTTTGGGGGTCCATGTTTGCTCTGCTCGCGATTTGTATTGTTTTAATAGACTTTGAGCTTGAATACTGTTCTTTATCTCCATATTTCACCAAGAGAGATATGGAAAATGAAAACTCTTTTTTGCGCTGGAGTGTGCATGATTGTCAGGCATAAATCAGAAATACATACAAGCACAAAAACAACAAGCATTCTGAGAGTATTGCATTAGCAATACTAGTCCCCTACCGGCAAGTGTAATCTGGTTCCCGTTAAGAATTGAAAATGCCATAATTCCGTCAAAAATTAATGAAGTGGGACGAAATGCAAACTTGATCTATAACTAATCAAGGTAAAGCCACATACCAAAAATCAGCTCAATATCTACAAGCGTTTAGAAGAAAATTGCGGAAAACCTTAAAAATTGAAAAGGCCGTAATTCCGTCAAAAATCAATGAAGCGGAACGAAATGCAAACTTGATCTGTAACTCATCAAGATACACTCACATACCAAAAATCAGCTCAATATCTGCAAGCGTTTAAAAAAAAAGTGCGGAAAACCAAGTGGGACAGACTGACAGACAGACAGACGGACAGACAGAGACGGACGGACAGACTCAGAGGAAACCTATAGTCCCCTCCGGTTTCACCGGTAGGGGACTAATAAGGAACATAAAGAAAACTCCTTTATTGAACCATAGTTACATTTTAGAGAAAGTAAGGAAGAAAGAACAAATATGTTAATAGTTAATAATAGTGACATGTTTAATACAGTTCAATACTTTATTGTATTTAAACAGGTAAACCTCCCGGTCCATATATATGTTCACTTATACTAGGAACAGTTTCATCGTCGTTTTACATCTTAAATATGCTAGGTCTTACAGCTGTACAAGGGGCAATAAAGAAAATAACATTATAAGACTTGAATGTATAAAAGTATACAATATAACATAAAGTGTTATCAAATATTAAATAACACAAACCTCTTTCAAAATAATGCACAACCATAATAAAAACAGCGTTGATACATAAATTTGACGCAATTTATTAGATTTACAAGTTATATATTTAATGTGAATGCAATAAAGTAGAAGACATACACCTTTTTATATGAAGATGTGATACAATAATGTTCAAAGACTAATATCATTATGAAGAGTAGGCATAGACAAACCGAGCGACGATGGAGATGATTACAATGATACCCAGGACGATCGATACAATAACAAATGTTTTTGCTTTTTGTGCATAAGACGCCGCTCCTGCTAAATCTCCTCCCTGTGCTGCGTGTTTGGACTGGAAATAGGATATATATATATATATATATATATATATATATATATATATATATATATATATATATATATATATATATATATATATATATATATATATATATATATATATATATATACTAGTATTCATTCTAATGTAGAGGCAATATTTTAAAACAGATCAAAAAATACAAAAGACATTACAGTTATAAAAAATTTCAATTTTAAATTTAAAAAAAAAACTCTTTAACAATTCTTTTCGTTAAATGTTGTCTCTAATAAATTATTTTATAATCTTGTAATCAAAATACGATAATGCAATTCCTAGAAGACTGGATGAACTGACCCTTCTCGCATTTACAATGGCGAAAATCCCAGTGGGCCAAAAACAGAAGAGGGTCACAAAGATTGCTGGAACCATCCAATTGCTGTTATTTTGTGCGGTAGCTGGGACCACGGTGGTCTGTTGTGTTACCTTAAAGTAAAAAAAACGGTCTTTGTATCAATTTTATGTCTTTCAAGGAAGCACGTTAGGCATAAAAACACTTCAGTTTCTTGAATCAATACTTACTTCAAATGTTTTTACTCTTATATTTACAAAGTAAATAGGGGAAAAACATTATATAATAGACGAAGCTGACTATAATCCTAATATTATAGTAAGGATAGTCAAAATATGTAGAGATTTTGATAAATAAGATACGAGATAAAATTCCTGAAAAAAATCTCAGCTTTTCAGCTCATCTGAGCCGAAGGCTAAAATTGGCTTTCCTGATTAAAATTTGTCCGTTGTCTGTCATTGCTTTCGTTATTGTCGCGCAGCATAAACTTTTCATAATTTCATCTCCAGAACCTCTGGACCAAACTTTACACAGAATATCCTTGGGTAAAGAAGATTCAATTTTATACAATTAAAAAGCCATAAATGGGAATTTATAAGAAAAATTGTTTAAAAGTCTTCTCAAGAACAGCAGAACCATGATTGTTGAAATTATTAGGTAAGAATCCCCAGCTTTCGCAGATTAATGTTTGTTCAAATCATGGCTCCAGGGATCGGGAGGGGCCACAATAGGAAACAATATAGTGTGGCCCCATCCTATCCCTGAGAGTCATGATTTGAAAAAATGCATGAATCTTTTTTTTTTTAAATGGTTCTCTACTTAGAAAAAATATTATGCTTTTCAAAATAGAATTGGGCTTTCTTTAAGGGAAGACGGGAATAAAAACTAGTGCTAAAAAGTGTAAAAATTGAAATTAAGGTCAAATGGATGACCATTGTATGAATAGCTGCATATTTGAACTTCTGGCCTTGAAGATTTCTTACCATAACTCCATGTGGTGATGGTGTACTGTAGATCTGTCCTTGTGCAGAATTATATTGAATCCTGTGGCCGGTCTTCTTTGGCCTCGTGTCTTTCGAGACATTAGGATTAGATCCTCCTGTTTTGTAATACTGTATGTTATCAAAACCCTGGTTCTGCATGGTTATATCTTTATCTAAAATATATATTATAAAAACTGTGAAAATTAATTATTTTGGAGAATCTTGATTTTTCTTACTATTTATATGGTGTTTAAATTTAACCATAAATAAAATTAGGTTGTCGAAAAATTGAGGTTTCGTGCCATTTCTTAAACATATGTTTAATTGATATTTTTAATTACATGTATCATTTTTCAATTTGAAATCAAAAATTATCAATTTGAAATAAGTTATTAATTCGTTACTACAAATTATTACTTTTAATTACAATTTATTAATTTGTAAGTAAAACTTGATAACAAGTTATTAAATTAGAAATAAGATTTATTACGAATTAATAATTTGCATTTACAAATAATAAAAAGAATTGTAAAATTATTAATTTTTAATTTAAAATTAATAATTTGTTATTTCAAATTCATAATCTGTAATTTCAGAAAAGGTACTAGTGCGGCCTTATTAGTGCATAAACAACACATACCAATTTTCGATACACAGAATTTGAAAGATAAAATGAATTATTAGGCAGAGTTTATTATAAAATGCATAAATTTACTTTTTGAAATAAAGAAAAAGTTGTTTTTAAATCACAATTTATAAAATTCCATTTTGATACTTAGTAACTAAATAAGAAATAATTTGTACATTACATAGTCAGTTTACTCTGATTAAAAAATGTATAAGACACCAAGTTCCCTCTCTGAGAAAAAAAAATCGTAAATAATGCAAATTGTTTTTAAAAAGAACTTTGAATACTAAGTAATACTACGTACATTGTAATCTCGAAAATTACTCGAATCGTCCTGATATCAATCTTTTTAAAATGTATGTTATTTTCACTCAATATTATGACCTAGACATGATTTTCTTACTAAACTTTAGCTATGCTAAAAAAAATCTTTTGAGAAACACAAAATTATGTTTTAGGTGTTCTCCATTTTCTTTTAAATTTAGAGTTCGAGAACGAGAGACAAATAAAAATACATCAAAGTCAGAGAAAATCTTTGTTTACATATTTGAATCACTACAGTACATAATTAAACAATAATTTCACATACAGAAACCAGCTGAAAGATGAAATAAGGAACATGATTATAAATCAAGAATATCTTGATAAAATATCAGTAGGTAATGTACATGTACGTTACCTATGATTTTAAAGAAAAGTGCCCCTTTGGTTGATTAGTCCTTGTATACAATAGGATAATTAATGTAAGCATGTATTTTTGCTTTTGAATTTTATTCATTCATTTACATATAATAACAATTCATCTACATACAATAACAATTCCTTTTTGAACGAGAAAATATACTCATTCATTAAATAATTAATTCATTAAATAATTCCTAAATTACATGTTAATCTATTTAACGAATTTATAAATTAGCATTGTCTTTCAATAAAGCTTCTGTAAAACGCTTATAACTTCAAAATCAGAGAATTAAATTTTCTTTTTAAAAAAGGCAAAAACAAAAAAAACAAAAAAAAAACAACAAAAAAACACTTTAGCGCCGATATATAGATCTCAAAATATTAATAATGATTTACCTTTGGATGCATCGACTTGTTTACATATATAGAATGTACTTTACTCTCCAGGTTTTTATACCCAAAATATTTCGAAATTCTTGACGTAGATTTTCATTAAACTAGTGAAGCGTTGCGATGGGTTTTAAATATTTCGCCATTATAATACAATGTATTTTCAAAGAGTAATTTTGGGTAAATTCCCTGGAAACTAGTATCCGGATATAAATTGATATTAAGATGAGTGATGGAAAGATTTTCTGGGATGGTGAATAAAAATTTCTATATGTGGTATTCATCCTTCCTACAGGACTAAAAGATGTCGAAATTCTCAACACATTGAGGAAAGACCTCACATATACACTTTTTATATAGCATGCACCATATATAATTAACAACGTTAATCTGCATTAAAAATTTTAAACCTCTTATTAATTTATACAGTGTGAGAGATAGGATTCTTTCTCCCTTTTTAAATTGTTCTTTTTCCCAGAGAATGAATTAAAAATAACTGACTAATAAGTGTTTTTCGCACAAAATGAAATGTTAAAAATTAGACTATCTTTTAAAAAATTTGTTTGCCCTCTCCCGACTCAGGATTAAAAAATCAGGTCGGTGGGAAGACAGTGAAATTTTTTCAAGAATTTTTAACATCAGTTCTGAATTTTATAAATTTATTGAAATTGAAGGTTTAATATAATAAGAATAGTTGACTGGATGAGATAACTCTGTAGTAAATAAAAAAAATTTAATCGTTTCCTGGGGGTTTTAAAAAAGATTTTTGAGTCGGGCCTTTTTTTTGTCCGTCGGTCGGAGAGGGCAAACAGACAATTTTTTAAAGATGACCTTATGTTCTCCTTTTTACTTGAGTGATGATTACATTGTATGTAGAACTCTGAATGAAAGACATACAAAAAAGTGGGGCACTCAGACAGGGTATACTTACATCAACCCCCCCCCCCCCCATTTAAAAAAAATCATTAAAACCCATTCCGAAGTGCTGCTTTCCCTTTGACATCCAAATTTTCTCTTGTCCTGTAGTACCTCAAGTTTTGATATACATGTCTCCTCTTTACTGGTCTTTGACTACTCTACTTCACTTCAGTTTCATAATTAGCTAAATGAATATGAACTAGCTGAAACAAGTGTAATTAAGAAATGTACCGATATTTAAGTTTTAGAAGTCAATGAAAGCAATTCAGTGTGAATAGATATCTCATGAATAGATATCTCATGAAACACGTTCATGTAAATTGTGCTTGGGTGAAAAGTATAACGTCACCTATTGCTATTTATTTTCGTCCGTCGTCGGTCGTCGTCCGTCGTGAGTTGTGTGTGAGCATTTGAACATTTTCAGTTTCTTCTCTGAAACCCTTGAACCAGTTTCAAGTACTTTTTTTTTTACATATGACATCTATGGGTGAAAAGAAACAAGTTTTGTGAATATAATTATCCCCCCCGGGTCCTGAGGGATGGGGCTAAAACCATCAAAATTAATGCAATCTTTAAAAAATCTCTTTACTCCTGGGCATCAAGCAGTTATATTGTTGGCATGATTGTAATAAGCATTGAGCCCTCTACCAAAATTGTGAAATTCATGGCCCCTGGGTCAGGGGTTTTGGAGTAAGGGTGGGGCTCTATTGATCATATAGTGAAAATGCATACATTCTTTAAAAAACTTCTCCCCCTTCCGGTATATCAAACAGACAAACTAAGTACATCTATGGGTGAAAAGAAACAAGTTACTATGAACAATCGTGCCTCTTCCAAAATTGTGAAATTTATCTTGTGTTAGGGTGGGGCTCTATTGATCATATAATGAAAACACGTTATTTCTTTAAAAATTTTCTTTTCTGCTCCAGGGTATTAAGCAAACAAATTAAGCGCATTGTAATGATGTGCCAGAGTGCCTCTTCCATTTTTTTTTTTAAATTCATGGCTCCTCGATCTGGGGTTCTGGTGTTAGGACGAAGCTCTCTTGGTAATATAGTGAAAAACCATTTATTTAATTTTTTAAATCTTCTCTCTTGTGAATTGTGAAATTCATAGCACCTGTGTCAAGGGTTATTGTGTTGGGGAGGGTTATTGATTATCTAGTGAAAATGCATTAATTCTTTGAAAATTTTCTTGTCTGCTCTTGGTATTAAGCAAACAAACTAAGTGCATGATTTTAACGAATAAGGATGTCTCTACCAAAATTGTGAAATTCATGGCCCCTGGATCAGGGATATTTTTGATCATATAGTAAAAATGCATAAATTCTTTAAAAAAAAAATTTCTCTTCTCCTGGGCACTCTAGGGGGCAAACAGAGTAAAAAGTTGTAATGAGCATTGGTGTTTTAACCAGATTTGTGAAATTCTGGACTACAGCTGGCTCAAGTGTTCTAGTGATGGGCGGGGTTCTATTGATATTGTATGGAAATTTGTACTCTATTTATTCTCCTTTGCTATATTCGCCTATGATAATTAATAATTGTAAACAATGTTTTTGATATGTCGAATTGAAGAAAAGAATTAATCAGATATTTTTAATATACATATATGCTACAAAAAGGATTTTCATAGTTTTTAATGGTCAGAAAGACTTGTAAATACAATGTAAAAGATACATAAACATAAGACACAACTGTCTTATCTTTGTAGTTTATATTAATTATTCTCCAAAGGCCAAGAGAGACCATTGTGTGAGGAAATGTGAAGGGTTTACTCCATGTTCTGAAGCTTAGTCTTAGTGACAAATGGGAGTGCATTAGTTCTGGCAAGTAACTACTTAGTAGATCTACTTTATGATTTATTACTGAGTACTAGACTATTTATTTTGTTGATCCCTGATCATCCTATTTCTCTCCCCCTCTAGATCAGTCCATGTTTACAGTGCTGTTTTATACTCAGTTGAGTGGTAAAGCCCTTGGGCTTCTTGTTTTAAAACTGAAACCGTTTACATTCAAAATATCCATTTAATTCAGACATACATAAATTAACAAACAGCCTAAGGAGATTTTTCTTGTTTTAGCTTCAAGATGTCATTTGACTTAATTAGTTGTACATGTAATTCAATGTTTATGTATTAAATGTCAGATTTTTATGCCCCGGTATCGAAGATTCGGGGGTAAATAGTTTTTGCCCTGTCCGTCCGTCTGTCTAGCTGCTTGTCTGTTTGTCCGCAAAAACTTTAACACCGCTCATAACTTTTGATTGGTTTGAGCTATGGCTTTTATATTTCATATGTGTATTCTTTGTGACAAAACCTTTCTTTGTGTACCATCAAATTTGACCTTTTGACCTTGACCTTGGAATTTGACCCAGTTTTTCAAAATTTTACCCAACTTTAACATTGCCCATAACTTTTGAACGGTTGGTACAAGGGCCTTCATACTTCACATGTGTACTCCTTGTGACAAGACCTTCCTTTGAATACCAACAACTTTGACGCTTTGATCTAGACCTAGGAGTTTGACCTACTATTGAAAAA